AAAGGACAATGGCAACAAAATTTTTTATTGTCTATATTAAAAGTGTTGCTTCACATAACTATAAATATGATATTAATACCGTGTCAAACATTTTTGTTCAGGAGTTATATGCATGTTATTTCACTGTTAATTTATATATCGTCGGCCATCTTGGCTCGTATTTGCGAAAAATTATCTTTTGGGTAATATGACCCGTATGACGTAGATGGCAGGGTAGAATCAAAACAACAATATATTTTTGTATGGCGTGTATCGAGATTTAATACGTTTTCTCAAAAAATTAATGCTTTTGAGTCATTTTAATGGAAAATATTCACGAGAACCAAGTAGGAGAAGTGTTATCATACCAATATGAACCAGAAGTAGGAGAAAAACAAGCAATATTTTAATTTTGGGATAGGTATAAATATAGGACCTCTACATGCGTCTTGGACCTTTGGTTTGTGGTTTACTTATAATCATTTATTTAATGGATTTCTTTTATTTTCAACGGTGTATTGAACGTAGACGGCATGCCGTTAAATATTGTATATTAGGTGCACGCGTATAATGCGTGCCGCGTGCGCTGTTTTGTGTCTTTTTATGTCAATCCATTGTAGAAATAGTATACCGCAATTGAAGCTAGTATGTACTGTAAGTAAAGTTATTACTTGGCAACGCTTCCCTTTTCAATTGTATTCTAAACGTTTCATTGCACTGTATTCGTTTTAAAAACTTTGGCGACTGTCCTTGTTCATACGCGTCTTCGGCAAAATGAAGTGGCGACGATGGTTTAATGGTTTGCGCTTATACAGAATTCAATCCACGCTTTTCTCCTATATTGCTGATCTACCGATTTGCTATATATAATATTTGCAATTTTGGTAATAAATATATATATATTCCCACACGTGAATTTAGGGTATTTTACATAACAATGAAAATATTGATAATATTGGGAACTATACACTACAGTACATGCATATATTTACCTATATAAAATGAGAACCAAGTAAAACTACATGTAAAAATACATCACAACATATAACCAGATATATAGATTATTTATACACTTATCTCTTGTCTGGGAAAATCCCATACTGACCTTGAATGTCAATTTACTAATTTGCGCAATGTCTAACTTGCGCGACACTACACATTACAGAAGAGGCAAATCTTGTTTGTGAGATAACAGCTATTTCACTAGCATAGCAATGTCGTTTGAAAGCCTGCTTAGTTTTAAAAACAATTAATAGTTGTGAAATCTGAAGCTAGAATTATCCACTGCAACATTGTTGCATTTCCGCCAGTTAATTGGTTGAATTATTTTTGTATTAATAATAATAACAACACTTTGAAACACTAAATACTCAGTAGAATCTTCAATGCAAATTATTTCTATATATATTTCTGCAACAGAGCATGCACATACATAAATGTATATGCTATACATATATACATACATTTGGAATATATGATATATGTAATTGGAACAGCAGAACTACCATAACCGGAGTCAATGTCTAAGCGCATTTTACAACGCAAATATACGCTTACTGTCGAAAACACAATCACAGACCATTGGTAGTAAGCTGCTACACATCATTGAACTATGAATACACGTTGCAACGTATCTGTATTTTTTTTGTAAACATTTTCTTCCAAATCTCAACGTTCACAGTGTAACTTATACTGTGGGATTTGCGTTTACCCTGCCATCTACGTCACGAAATGTATTCATGCATAAATTAGCATACGCGGAATTTTCCCAAGATGGCGGACGACTGTTAAAATTTGTTAAACATTTTCGCAAATTATCTGAACATCTAAATGCAATGGACAAACAAAAATATGAAATTAAGTATTCCATTAGTAAGCTTAATAAATACAGACAATAAAAAATTTTGTTGCCATTGTCCTTTAAAGCGAACGCATGCATCATTAAAGTGTCAAACGTATGTTTACATATTAAAGTGCATTCACTTTTGAGTGACAGCGGCTCAGACTCGCAGCCAATCATCAATTCCCGTCCACTGGTGGACGGGGAATTCGATTACACTGCCAAACCCAGCAGGCGGTATTTCCCAGGCTTGCCCAATTTTAGGAACCGCCTGCCATGCAGGCTAGTCCACTGGTGGACGGGGAATTCGATTACACTGCCAAACCCAGCAGGCGGTATTTCCCAGGCTTGCCCAATTTTAGGAACCGCCTGCCATGCAGGCTAGTCTGAGACCGGATCGGCGACGGATCGGGAAAGTTGAACTTGGTTCAACTTTCCCGATCCGTCGCAGATCGTTCATATAAAAATTCAGCACATGTCTGCGACAGTCTGCGACTGCTTAACGATTTTATGTGAACCAGGCTTAAGATACATCACATTACGTTATTATACAGCTCACTCCCCATTGGGGCTTTTCAGTGACCGATTACATCAACTATTAGCTTACTTATGTTACTTACTTAGCCTAGACTATTTATCTTTACAACAATTATGATATTACGTTCCTAACTGTGTTCTTATCCCAACCCACCCTGTCGACTTTCCCTGTGGGAGGAAACCGGAGCACCCGGAGAAAACCCACGACTTTCGGCAGAGGGTTGTCTGACTCTTTTCACACGAGTCCGTAGCGAGAATCAAACCCACGACCTCAGAGGTGAAAGGCGCTTGCTCTGACGTCTGCGCCACCTAATATATTATATTTTTTTTCAAGAAAGTTAAACTGACCTTTGTCTTGAATTGCTTCAACTCATCTGCATGCTGCAATGTTAGAAAGAGTAAAGTTGTAAGAGGCCACAATTGCCGCTTAAAGGACCTATTCGCTAATGAACAAAAAATTTTGATCTCGACAAGTTTAGACAAAAATTTCATAACAGCTTGAAAGAGCATCACAAAATTAGTAATATTCCGAATCTTCGTTGCGAAATGTTGTAAAATGCGGATAATATAGCCTTGCGAAGTTTGCAATTTTCAGTCATTTCGGTTTGATACCGCATTCTGAGAAAAGGTATCAATTTCCCCCCGCGTAATACAAAATGACTGAAAAACGGCAAACTTCGCAGGGCTATATTATCCGCATTTTACAACATTTCGCAACGAAACTTCGGAATATTACTAATTTTGTGATGCTCAAGCTGTTATGAAACTTTTGTCCAGACTTGTCTAGATCAAAATTTTGTTAATTAGGGAATAGGTCCATTGAGGTCCATTAATGAGTTAAAATCACTACAAATATGAAGCTGTGGCAAAATTAATATATATCCAACTGGAAAATTAATTAATACCTTTGACTGGACTTGCTTCAAGTCGTTTTCACACTGAAATATGAGCAACAACAAAAAGAAAAGGTGTGTAATTTTATAGCAAGCGGCAGTTAAATACACAAGTAAAAACATGAAAAAGCATGGTTGTGAATTTTTTTTTCTCACAAAAACCCAACCTTTTTGACATTTTTATCGGAACTTTAGAAAGTAAATGAGATTTATAATATTTTATGCTGCATGTTATCATAGTTAATAGAGGAGATGGTTTGGATACTTATTAGCATTACAATAAACCTCACTATCTATGTTTTTGTTCAGGTTTATGCAAAAATGTGGTCTTTCATCGTCACGTGCGTATTGTATTTTTGCTCAACCAGCCAATAGCAACGGTTTTGTCCAATTGCCCTTCCATGACTTTAACAATAGGACATTTTGAACATTCCTATTGGTTGACTTGAGAAAAATACAAACGCACGTGACGATGAAAGACCTGCACATTTTTGCATAAACCTGAACAACATAGATAATGAGGTTTATTGTGATTTTATTGTAATGCTAACGAGTTTCCATACCATCTCCTCTATTAACTGTGATGTTATTGTGATATTTTATACGTTGGTTAATTTCGTGCGACAAACTCACCCAGTCATTGCTTGTCGAAAGCGTAATGAACGAAAATGCAATGTATAATAAACATTGAATTCGATTTTTGTGATATATCCCGAATGATCAAGGTCTCGGTAAGTGTTAACAATCACTTTTGAGATGACACTTACCTCAACTTTGAGAACTCTTGATGTCACAAAAACCTCATCTAGTAACTGTTTATTACCCGGTCATAGACTGTATCCCCAGCCGGAGTTCAAAATAGGTGTCTGCACAACACTATCTTCAGAAGAACGCCTGGACTATTTAATTTTTTAATTTTATTTTTAAGCTTTGTCGCAACGTTAAAATTACATAACAAAATAACAATAATAATAATAATAATAATAATATTATATATATAT